GACATCTGCGAGTATATAAGTACGGGAGTTCTGGTCAAAAGTGACGATTTTGCAGTCAGAATTCACTATTAAAAAAGGAAAAAAATTATTTGTTTTAACAGAAAAGATTATACTTTTAATAGTAAAAATTTTAGTTTGAATGGTAAAAATTATGGTTGGAACACAACAAACTTTAAAAGGATCGGTTACTAAATTTTACTTTCCAGAATAGAAATTTTTACTGTTCTAACCATAATTTTTACTTTTCGAGCCATAATTTTACCTGCTAAGACAATAATTTTTTACTGTTAAAAATGATAACTCATCCCCTTTTTTTGCCAGCTTGCATCCGATTTAGTGTCCGGAATGGTAATATTTGCTGGAATTTCTATACAATTTTTGTTATTATTTTTTTCTCAATGTACTGCACTCGTTATAGCGAGGTTAAACGGTAAAATCTTTTTTTTCTATAATTTTTGATTCAGAAGTGATACGAGCTACGCGTCGATTTCAGACCGAACCAAATGATTCCACCTCGTTACTCGTTTCCTTGGAAAATTCCTACAATCGAGCAAACGGAAGACAAGCTCGAGTGGCCTGGGTGCTCTCGTGAAAAACCAAGCACTATATCTATGCGTTTCTGCGAGGGAAAAATGCATTGGGCACCTATAGGGCAAAAAAAACTGTCGCCACGGAATCTCGAGACCCCGTAAAACGTCCAGTACATAAATACACACTATATGCCGTGGCGATTCCAGTGTTGCTACCAGAGGGCAAAAACGATAGTTCTCCGAAAAAAAAAAAAAAAAAAAAAAAAAAAAAAAAAAAAAAAAAAAAAAAAAAAAAANAAAAAAAAAAAAAAAAAAAAAAAAAAAAAAAAAAAAAAAAAAAAAAAAAAAAGAATGAAAGTTGCTCAATGATGTGGGTGTTCAAAAAAAACACACCCGTGCGTCTCTCTGCAGTGCACGGGGGAGTTCGATCGAATTCAAAAGAGCTCCCGGCTGCAGGCACGTTCGCCGTCCTTTCAACCTCCTTTTTTTACCTCAGGCTCGAGTCCCTTTTCTCCCCTGTTTTTTTCTTTCGCTGTGCACACACGTACATTCACGTAAGTATATCGGCGAGAAACCTCCCTTCGATATACACGTACCAAGTGTGCACTACGTCGCAAGGCATATAGACGTTGTCGACGCCATCGGCCCCCTCTCCCCCCTCACTTCCGTCCAATAAGTTTGATATAAGCTAGCGATTTATTTCGTCACGTGCGCAACGTATATACATAGTAAAAACGAGTACGTGCCGAAAAAAGCTTTCATTTTAGGTGTACCTGCGCCCTTTTCTCGTCTCGTGTCGCTCACCTTCTAACACCAGTTGGCTTTCAAAGTTATGTTTGCAGCGTTGGGTATGTTCATGTGTAGGTGTATATTACATTTAGTTGGGTGTTTATTATTTTTCAAATTTCGTTTTTTAATCATACATGCAACGAAATCTTTTTATCGTAGAAATCCCAATCATAAGATCTAAAGAACAATTAAATTAACTCGTGACACCGGATTCATTTTCTGTTCTTACTCAAATAACACAGGAACTTTTACGAAAGTCTTAGGGAAGAATTAAAAAAAAATTGTTTTAATTAAAATAACGTCCAATGGTGGTACTGTCAAATTTTGTATTATTAAAAAACAAAACGACGTTTCGGCCATTTGGACAATGTCCCGGCCCTCATAAGGTACAAAAATCTCTGACTCTTACGAAGGGATGTAAAATCGTAATGTTTACATAATTGTTTTAATAGTTTTAATAATCTACTTAATTATTTTTACATATGGTTAAGACATTCGTTGTTAAAATCGTTATAAATCATTTTTATTCGAGTCTTACGATTGGAGCCCTCATTAATGCTTTCGATGAAGAGACTTCAGTGTATGATGTATATCTTAAAAAATACAATTTGGAAAATAAAAGACATCCTGATATTTACATACATTATGTTAACGAGATTTGAGTGCTTTTACTGTGTGCTTCTGCAATAAATATGAATTACTCCTTGTACTATGATTGTTCTAATTTTTATTTGTATCACCGTTATTGTTGCATAACTTACAAAAATCGGTGTCCATCAGTGATTTTTTTTTTTCAGTTCCTAATTTTTTCTACCACTAAATTTTTTTAATTAATCAATCTTTAAATTTTACTTTTCTGCAGTTCCATTTTAAGGGATGCATTATTTACAAGTCTTCATAGCGTACACATGTACCCAATAACATTTCTCAAAATGCACACTCAACGGAACAAATGTGATGGTCAAAAACAACGGTCGTTATAAAATCTCGTTGTCTCGCCTCTGTCCAAATAATTTTATCTTTTTTTAGACGTCGAAAACATTACATTAAGATCAACGCACGATGCAAGAGTTTGCAAAATATTAGAATTTACTGCCAGGAGGATAAGGCGGTGGTGGTCGTTGCGGGCAACCCATACTCCTGTATACATACATAGCTGTACGAAGTTATAAATTATTGAAGTTTACAAGGGAGTTTCATCTGATTTGATAGCCCCATCCACCTCCTCCTTATTCTTCCCAATATCCACGAGTTCTTTGTTTTTCTCTCGTGCTCAAGTTGGCTCTCGGTGAAATCAGTCTTTCGGTTAATGCGCGCATTCGGCGTTGGCCCCTCCCTTTCCTTTCCTTTCCCTGTCGGGTAAAGTTTCGATGCAATTTTAAAATTAATATCTCGTACCCGAACCGAGAACCCCATACCGATCTCATACATTGACTTTTGATACATATGTGTGTTTCGAAATTTTTTTCATTACGTAGAAAATTTGATCAACGCCACGTTGAGGGTAACACGGGAAATTACATTGACAAGGGGTGGAAACAATTTTGCGTGTACGCCCAATATGATGTCAAACTGACTCAATTATGACGCTCGACTGGGCACGGTTCGATTGATATACGGCTGAACGTAATGTGAGACGGTGAAAAATCGGAAAGAATTTTAATTTCAAACACGTTTTTCACTGCCAGCTCTGCAGTACGAATTTTCAAACGGAACGATGTCGCCGGGGGGTAGTAGCGTTGAAATTGCTTCGCTTCCCCGGCAGCTTCCTCTGCGTGTACTTTATACATATGCTTGCATGTCTGAGGCACGGACAGTTGGTTTCACTCAGTCAAACGCGCGTACCTAAATCATAGACTTCTACGATAAAACGGCATAAAAGATAACTACATCGTGTATAAAAGGCTGCTGTACGTTTGGGAAAAGAGAACTTTGAGAGTAAAGTGTGGTTTTTTTCAGGAAAAAAAGCTACCAAGGTATAGGTTTCTTTTCAACGTAACAGTTTTATGTACAATTGGTGTTGTATTTAAAGTAGAAAAATAATTGTAAACGCATGATTTTCTACCTTTGTCTTACTTTTTGGGTAGCCAAAAATAAACCCAAAGGATTTTTAACATCATTTCTATACATGAAAGTTTTTTAATGAAATTTATTCTTGGCGAAGATTAATGGTATGAGAAAAAAAAATTTGTTTGAATTACAAACACTTAAAGATGGAATAGTTAAGCCGAAACAAATGTATCTTCAAATTATATACTCAATAAAACTTTTAAAGTCATGAATTTCAAACCACACTTTTTTGTTTTCCTAATCATTTTCACATCGAGAACAAAAATTAGTTATTTTCCAGCAGGTGCCTTCAGATTTTTCAGCGAGAAGACAATTGTATTGTTATATAACATTACACATTATTATGCATTACGTTCGTAATTTTAGTAGTTGTAAAAAAAATCTTGCATTAGTCAACTTAACTAATTAAAGTGCACTGTTCTTGGTAAAAATTATCCGTGCTCATTTCCTGCTCCTTCCTCTTATGTCCGTATGCGTACACAAAAGAAGAAAAGCCTCAGCAAACATTAAAAAGCGAGTACTTTCAATTACCAAGAGCCCATTCCTCCTAGCTTTGCTAAGTATTGCTGTTACTGACGAAAAGAAAGAAAAAATGAAGTACAAGCAAGTGGCTATAAAAAAATTTTTTTTGTTTGTTTAAAGGATATAAGCTGTATCAATTACAACAGCAAACAGTATAACTACAATGTATATGTAACGGTCTGTAAGATAAGACTATACTTTTTGTATATCTACAATTTTTGCATGTAGTGTATTATCTTAAAATGTCCATTTCTCGATGGAACTTGTAGGGAAAGAAAAGTACTTGTTCTTACCTCGGGTGTTTTTTGACATGTACTTTGAACGTTTGCTGCACTCCCGGCAAGAGAAGCAAGATTCGCCACCCGAGTGCAATCCAACTGAAATATCCAAGTGTCCCTCGGGCCTTTAGGTATCCTTGGATGACGCTTATGAAACGAAAAACCGCTACTTCGCTATTTTTGTACATATTTCCATTTCTTGTATCACAGAGAATTTGCAGTATATTCCAGAGTGAAATAAATAATACAAAAAAGTGCGTCTGTTCAAAGTTAAACATTTAAAAAAGTTTTATTACAGTTTAAACTCAATCTAATAAGCACTCCTTGAGTAACCCCGGAAACTTGATTATGAACATTCATAGAAAAACCCTCACATTATTCAACATATTTTCACACTCAATTACACTTTTAGCTCGAGTAAAATTATAAGTCCATTCCCAGTATAACAGTAGTAACTTAAGCATTGAGTAAATTATTTGGTGTTTCTACCTTACCGGTTGACTCGTTTCCATAAATTTGCAACTTTTTAGCTTTAACCCTCATTAGATTATGATAAATGTATGCTTAAATGAATCCTCAAAGTACCAGCATTGTGTCTCTTCGTATCACTTTGCGTAAAATTGTCTGTAAAATTATCAATTAACCGAAATATATTCAGGTTGATCAGTCGGTAAGGTAGAGACTCCCGTTGATTTATTGAATGCCCCTAATGGAGTCCTACGTCATTTGTTCAAACTCTGAGGTGGCGTTCACATGAACTTATACATTACGATTTTTCACTAATCGCAGCTCCACACTCGTCAATTTCCAGATGGCGAATACGAGGCTAGACAGTGCTCGCGAAACGGTCTGGTTTGCTGGTGCGTAGACCCAACGGGCAAGAAGGTCAGTGGCTCGATGGGTCCAGCGGACAAGGTCGAGTGCGTCGTCAGCGAGGACCCATCGGGCTTGGTAACGGGCGCTGCCGGCAAAGGACGAGCTCTGCCGTCGGCTAGCTGTGCTTTGCAGCAGTGCGCCCAGGTCTGCCAATACGGTTTCAAGAGCGACGACTCAGGCTGCCCAACCTGCGAGTGCGACGATCCCTGCGAAGGGTAAGTTTGTTTTGCTTTCAACTTTTTACTGAGTTCTTATGTGTACGTGACGTAGTAAGTATAGTTTGGGCATGTAATTCGAGTCACTGAATCACGCACTGGGAGAAACAGCAGGACTTGACTCATTTTAATATGACACGGAGAGGAACGATATTGTCTCCTCTAAGGTCACGAGTTAGATTCATCCACCAATGTTCACCTTATATACCTTTCTCCTCTATATCTCATTAAAAAGAATCAGATCCTCTTTAAAGACTGTTGCTGTCTCTCTATTAGTGTGATTCAGCCACTATCATTGCACGCCCCGACTACATTACATAATGTCTTTGAGATCGTTTGTTATTTAGTACAAGCTATAGAGTATACGCCGAATAAATTGAAATAAAAGTATGTCACAAGAACGCATCCGAGAACGCAGTATCAGTGTGTAGTCCTCAGCTAATGCGCTATGTGAATTGCTGCTACCGTCCTCTGGTGGTTCCAAATGAGAATCATGTAGCTCTGTATATAAAGTAGGAAAAAATCATACAACTCATTTCGCTAAAATCCTAAAGTCAATGCATACTTTTGGCTAACAGTGTTGGGAAAAAGTTGTAGATAAGTAAAAAAGGAGTTTATACGGTCATATTTGACACGAATATATTGAGTAGTTATAATTTAATACATAATAATTCATGTAACCACGAATGTGCCTGCGTGACTTTAAACTGAAATTCACTGCGCTTTACAAAGAGAATGCAACGTATTATTTTACTCGTTTTACTATGCCATAATTACTCATAACATTACTATTATTGCAAAGATTTGTTATCAAATGCAGTTATATAGATTCCGTATTTCTTAATCTACAATTTTTACGCATGTAACGGAGTTACGTATTACGGAGAAAAAAGTTCATCGTTCACAGAATTTAGGCTTTAGTGTCCCGAGAGTAAACAATATTTTCACCATCATGGGCGCTTCGATCGATTTTCTTATCCCCTCCAAACAAACTCACATAGTGAACAGCATAACGTCAAAAAATCATAGACATTACTGTAAAACTTAAAATCCACTATTATTATTTACGTTAGTATACTATTTTTGTGAGTTGGCGTGTGATTTTGTTACTTCAACAGAACAGTTGTATGATATGTTTAAAATGGAGTCACTTTTATTTTGAAGGATCTAATAAACATCTAGAAAATAAAATCATCATCGGTAATATTGTTATCTTGGACGTAAAAATTTAATGCGTTCTTCTAATATCTGTTTTTGAAGTCTTATGTAAACGTAAAAAAATATAATTAAGGAGGTACCTCAGCCACGAAGTTACTGAATAGATTTCGCTCAAACTTCGTACAATGGATGCTTTAGAAATATATAATACACCGATTAATTATTGTTGCCCTGGGTTAGTTAGTTGAAGAGAAAAATGTAACATGCACTCTTATGGAAAAAGTGAAGGTTATGAACATTTATATAAATATCTCGAAAGTTACAGAACAGATCTTAATGAAAATTAGGGAGGATATAAATAAACGTACAAGGAAAAGTATGGTAAGAAATTAGGCAATGAACTCACCTTTGAATTCAATTATCAATCAATTGTTAATGACACTCGTGGGACTTAGTTACTTTTGATGCCATGTTGCGTTGGCGCTGTTGGCGGAAAATACGAATGTAACTACAAAAAATTTGGCTTGGCAAAACATAAATTTTTTTTTTGTTATAAGCACATAATTAAGTAACACTCGAATAATTTAATAATTTAATGATAAATAGTGTTGGTTACGTTAAANGTTACTTTTGATGCCATGTTGCGTTGGCATTGTTGGCGGGAAATACGAACGTAACTCCAAAAAATTTGGCTTGGCAAAACATAAATTTTTTTTTTGTTATAAGCACATAATTAAGTAACACTCGAATAATTTAATAATTTAATGATAAATAGTGTTGGTTACGTTAAAAAATACTTTAGAACAAAAAATTACAGACTATTGAAGACTTGAGTGTTAATACTACTTCCTTATCAATTTAGTATTCAGTCAAATAGTTATTTTATAATAGTATTCACCCTGCTTATCTTATGTTGTGATTTGGTTACACGAATCAGTCCTTTGGAATCTTCTCCAAACAAATCTTCAATACCCTTTAAGTTATTATTAATATATCGATTTATAATATCTGAGAATGAGATTAGCATATAAAATTGTCTTTCCAATAAAAACTCATGTTTACATATGACACCTGCTCTTATGATCGTACCTCATCTACAGGTCTTATCAAAACATTTATATAGCGCTAAGATTGGTAGAAAATCATAGTTACATTTTTCAGACATTTCTAGGCTAGTACTCTATGGCTGAGGTACTTCAGATGTATAAGATTATGGCGTCCAGCTTAAAGGTGCGGTAGTAAAAAGCCGCATTAAAGTTTTCCTCTCAAGCATCGAAACTTCAACAAGTATTTGAATGTGGGAAGTAATTAACACCGGAATATCAGTATTTATCGACGCGGAAGAGTTTATTAAAAGTTTGAGAAAAGCGATCCCCGAATAATTAGCCACGATACAGCCCCAACTCTAGTAGAGATAGCGCAAAACTCGCACAGCGCCTAAGATCGCTTAGTTTAAAAAGGAAAAGTTAATTCTAGTAGTTTTTAAAATAAATGTAAAAATAATGACGAATACAATAAAAAACAAAAAATAAAATAAAATAAAAATAAAAATGAAATACACAATGAACTGAAGTTGTCAGGATGAAACTGTGAGATATAAAAAGTGTTGTGTATACCTACATATCCATTCGTATGCTAGTAGAAGAAGTTAAAACCAGGTCAGACGTAATACTTGCTCTTTTGCCACTGTACATTGTCATCTCCAACTTTGGCCAAACTTTTTCCCTCCCTCTTTACGTAGGCTGAGCCGGAGGGCTGCTACTGTCACTGCTGTGTGGTACAACTCGTTTAATTTTTTCTTCTCGGTTTTTTTTTTTTTTTTCTTGCTGTCGTTTGATTTTCTAGGAAACTTTGCGAATGTCTCCTGCATACACCTTTTAGCTCGTCCTCTTAGCTCTGGTGTATTTATTTCATCCACCACATCAGCGTGACAAACACTTTGCCGAATCGATAAAAGTTAGACCCTCAGTTGTTTATCCCCATCTGACTTATACAAATTTATAGCCCCGCGTTTTCTTAACGCTGAATCAAGTAAACTGCCACGCAAACTTTGCTCTTGTTTAACAACAACAATAATACACTTTGCCCGAAAAATTACCAAGTTATAATTACTTTTGAAAACAACGTCCATGGGCGCCTTCGCGCTTTAATCTCCGACCCAGAAAATCCATTAAAAATAATCCAATGCAATTTCACGAAGCTCTTAACCACTTTGTATATGCAATAAAAGTACGGATAACCTCGAGTCCGAAGATTCACCGTGTTAAGATGAAAAAATATAAAACCACCAGATCCAACACTACTACCCTTTTGCAACGTTGCGAACTGGTATTACACTTTGATATACTCCACGAGGACTGGATGAAAATAAATGTTCATTGCTCCTCCCCCCGGTAGAAAGTTCCGGCGAGGTAGAGCGTAATCCTTTGCTCCACGAGAGAGAAATGACCCATCGAAGCGTTTCTTATGTTTCGTACTGTTACAGATACCCGTGCCCAGTTGGCGAGGAGTGCGTGCTGAGACGGGAGGATGGTTGCCCGGACTTCCTCTGCCCGACGAAGCCTGAGTGCCGACTTCGGCGTACCTTTAAAAACCCTTGCGCCTCTGGCTCGCCGTTGAGCGATGAGAGTGGCAACGCCGTCACGTGCAACTTCAGCGATGGGTCGGCTAATAGGACAGGATGTCCACAACAGCACCGTTGCACGTCCGTGCCCGAAGCCGAGCGGTCCGTGTGCTGCCCGATACCAGCCGAACCCGCCAAATCGCCCACTAGTAGGTCTTTTTGTTTCTATTTTTTTCCTACTCATTGGAGCCCTAATTTGCTTTAAAAAATCTTGATAGTTGGCATCACTGCCGCAAGAACAACATAGGCTAACCTACGGAAATACGACGACTCGATCAATTATAAATAGAATATCTTAAATTTTTTTCGGTTATCTATATTTTTCACGATGGCATTTAAAAATGAAGTTATTCGAGGTGAGACGCGACTACTAGAGCGCCGAATAACCTGTACAAAAATAAAAGAAGCGGCCAAAGTTAAAATTAAAACCTGTCCTATTTGACTTGTTTAAAAAAAAGAGCGCCAGTTTAGTGCCATTTTATAATTTGAAAAAGCATCATGCAGCAATAACGCATACTTACTAAGACCTGTCCTACGAGTATCACCTCGAATAACCTATAATAAGTACATACAGATAATACCCGACACTTTCGATTGGAGTTGCAAATCACTAGTCTTAGTCTACCCGTCATAAGCGCTCTAGTTGAAAGAGCAAGTTTCAAGCACAAATTTCTCAAGATTTTGTCCGGTTAAGGATATAAAAAAGGATACTCTAAGTTTTAGGGTTATCTAAACTATTTAATGACATATGTCTAATATGGTGACATTAGGGCGCTGGAACCTCCTTAAAAGAGCTCATCACCTTTTTGCAAGTTAAACCGTTAAACCCAGGTTGAAATCCATGATAAAATAGAATTAAGTGAATTTACAGTTAAAATTTTAGGGCATGTTGTCCACCAAAATTGAAAAAAAAAAAAAAAAACTCATTTGAAATTCGAAATTTTTGCATGGGTCTTATGAGGTATTTTGAATTCCGTACCAGAAGTCGTAGCTTGTTTTAACTTCTAGAGGGCTGCGGCCCCTGCCCGCTTCAGGCGCCAACCTCCGAAATTCAATAACTCATTTATTTTCTATATACAAATGACTTTTCACTGATTTTTCAAAATCTTATTTTCAAATCTACCCGCGCTTGATCAGTTTCAGCCAATCACACAACGAATAAACAGGCTTCATCACGTGACCCATCGTTTTTTAAGATAGGAAAGAGCCGCATTCTACAAAAACTAAAATTAGGTACTTTAAATAATTATACTTCTTATGTAAGCGTGAAAGTCTAAGGTTACCCAGAGAAAAAAAAAGGAATCAAGTGTTGAAGTCCAAGCCAAAGGTTAATCTCATTTTAAATTCTATGCGCAAGCCCGGGAGATTCAAATACCAGGAATAAAAAATTGTGTAAAGAGTTTTAAATATATTGCCTTGATCTATTCCTTTGTGGCGTGCAGAGTTTTAATTGTACATTATTGCAAAAATTTTTTATAAATCATTTAATTCCAGTAGTTTGAGCGAATATGTTAAATAAAAAATAATTAAGTATTAAAAGAAATTTTTCCTCTTACTACCATGCATCTCATCACAGATAAATACAATTGATGTAATACGTAAATCATGATATTTGTTTCTAATCAATATCGATTTTCCACTATTTTAACAAATTTACGCACGTGTATTTTTTCATACAAGCACTATAAATTTTATTAGGGACACCCTCGTTTTTTGTTACATAAAAAAAAGTTTTTAATTACTTCAAAAAATCATCTGCTCTAAAAAGATTTCTTCTTATAAGGAATGTAAAGATTATAATTGTCATATTAAAAATGACGCTGTATATTGGCGTACAAAGCTAACGTTAAATTTTTATAATATATGTAGTTTTTCTTGTATTTATTGATATGGGTACTTATTTAAAGTTTCAATAGACTAGATTTTCATGCAACCTAAAATGTATTTACCAGAAATGAAAATCATAAACAGTGATTCTCACAAGTAATTAGATATTCAGTTTACGAAATTGTTAAAAATGTGTACTCTGTTTGTTAGTAATACTAAACTGTTGCAGCAGTAGAGCGTTGGGTTGGGGGAGAGAGTGATACAGATAGAAAGACTAAGTGAGTAGACGGCACAGTCTCTTGCCAAGCTTATTGTCGATTTTAAATCGGGAAGTAATCCTATTATCATAAAAGATTGATTGTCACCTGACTAAAGCCTTTTCATTCGTTCTGTGATTGGACGAGACTCATGAAGAGCGGGTGAATTTGAAAATGAGTTTTAATAAATGTAGTGTAAAAAGTCAATACTTGGAATAATTAAAATTTGATAACGTAAGATTTATGTTCTGCAACTAAATAATTGAAGTTTTTGATTTGAATATATCAAATGGTTTTTTAGAAAAAATCATTTTACATATCAATTTTGTTAAATCGAAGTAATGACTGAAACAAAAATCTAGTTTGCGTTGTTACAATTATCTGGAGTTAAATACCTACTTTTTGACTTGTTTGTACTCTTAAGTTCAATTATCATTTTAAGAGTTAGTATATTAATTTACGAAGCTAAGATTTTGAAGTAGTTCGTATATGGTTTTCAAAATTAAAATATTGTTGATACAGTTACCAGTTTAAAGAAAGGTTCGAATAATAGATAGCAAGAATATTAATTTTTCTTACTTTTGACATGATAGAAAATTCAGGAAAGCTATTTTGTTCGGTTGTATATTAAAATTGAGCAACGAAATAGAAAAATGCTCGTAAATGTAAATCAAATCGAATAACAAAATAATTAAAGTACGCGAAACGAGTCTAAAAAGACTAGAGTAGTAAAGTAGGCCATGTAGTCGATAAACTCGTCGGTTGTTCATAATATCGTGAAATGCTGGCCAGCAATTGCAAATTGCAGTAAGTTTCTACCAGGATAATTACGTAGGTAAATTTTAAAATAATGGTCATAAAATGGCAACTACGATATTTGGGCTCAATCTTGAAAAACACCATGAATTTACATCATGCAAATCTACCACACTATTCGTTTTACGAATCCTCGAGAAGAATCTGCAAGCAATCCCCATTAAAAGCATTAACAGCCCACCAACGGTCGTAATACATTAAGTACACCGGATCTTTCGGGGGCCCTCCAAACGACCCGTACAGTCACAAAATCCTACACAATATCCGCAATTATAGCGCGCTCTCGCGTCCACGGTCTTAATTAAAGATCTTTCCACCTCAGTCCTTCCTCGACCGAAAATTCGTAGCTCATTAACGAAGCTACCTTCCTCCTCCCCTTTCTAGCAGCCGCGCATATACACACATACTTCATTCACCGCCACAATAAACTTAGCTCAAACAAAATCCTCTGAGCCCCACCAAGCCGGCTAATTAGCAGTTAGGAGAACCCTCCTTCCACACACCCCCCCTACTTTGTTGAAACACAAATATAGAGCGAACAAACAAAGAGTTTGTTTGACATAAATACACATAATATGTACGTGTGCATCTACATATGGATTTGTGTGCGCAGTGTGCGAGTACCTGCGTGACTTCAGCGAGCGGATGGAGGGTACGCGGGAAGGTATGAGCTTGGCCATACCGGCGCCCCAGTGCGCCGAGGATGGCTCTTATCGCGCGCTCCAGTGCCAGTTTGGCCGCAATTGCTCCTGCGTTGACGATTACGGGGTTTGTTTGAAGAGCAACGTCGACCCGGACGATGGACATACTGACTGCGCCGAGGTGCGCGACCTGCTTAATTTGTGCGGCGCTTTCCAGTGCAACCTCACCTGCAACTATGGCTTTGAACTCGGTGAGTTGGTACTTGGCTTTTTTTTTTTTTTTGGTAGTTAGACGTGCTTTTTTTACTAAAAATTGGTTTGACGAAAAAGAGAGAAAGGAGTTGACCTGATTTTCGAGCTAGGACATTTTTTTTTTTTTAATAGATGTGGCTTGCTTTTTCCAGCCGGAAAGTGGCTCTTTGCGCGTTGAAGCCTATAGGGAGGAAACTCGATAACAACATTTTTAATTAGCGCCTTCCCGTAAAATTTAATTGATTCCTTCTGCTCGGAGCCATTCATTGATTGAAAGATATTTAAAGACGACTGTTTAATTACGCGGTGATTTAATTAAATTCAATTAACTCGACTTCAGTAAGTTCAATTGTTTTTTTCATTTGATGAAATAATTGCAAGCTTGGTGGAATGTATGATGAAATAAAATTGTATTAACCATTGAAATTTCAAGTCACATTATACAAATCCCTATGAGGTGGCCTACTACCCTATGGCGTCGGAACTTCTGAATTTTCTAGGGTCTGTTTGGTTTATATGGGGATGGTGTCTGACGAAATTGAACTAATAAAAAAGATCCAAGGAGGAAAGATTCTAGCCAATCAGGCTTTCCAAATATTTTACGTGTATAGATTATATTTACATCAATGTGAACCAAAGAATATTGGAACTGACCTCAATATTGACGTTATAATCACGTGATTTCGATTTGAATAAGAGCTTGATTATCATGCTTGGAAAATATTTTGTTTCATGATCTTTACTCTTTATACATCGACAATATTTTCATCTACACATGTATTTAATTAAGGAGGTTCAGTACTTTTTCCCCCAAATGCAATGAAAGTAGTGAAATTTCCAACATTAACAATTTGGGGTATCAGGAAACTGGTTTTTTAAAATATTTTCATCACAATTTTTTTTTTGATGAAGCTCTTAATACAAGCCCTTAGAGGGAGTAATGAGTTAAGCCTTATTTTTCATTCATAACGAAATTTGTGATAAAAAGTATTGGAAAAATTCCGGTTTCCTGACGCATTAATTAGTTATAGTTTGAGGCTTTACCGCTTTCTCTGCATTTGGAGAAAATTATTCAACATTCTTAAGATAACTCGTTTTCGATAAACTTACTAAAATTTTTAAAAGCACATTATAATTTTATTGTATACACCCTAGAAATAGTACGAAAGATCTAGAGTTTATTGAGTCGCCAAAATCATAATTATATGTATAGATGTATTTTTTTTTTAATTAAGGACATAAAAATTGTATTACTTTTAATGAATTTGAAAGAAAGTGACGTAATGCGAATAAGTGGAAAAATAATGAAATTTCGAAGTGAATATTAAGTTAATGAAAAAGGGTGTGAATTCCATTACTGCAAATAGGATGATTATATCAAATTAATAATATCACTGATTTATTATATTAAAAGAAAAATGAAATATTACACTCATACAATTAGTTAAATTACTCCGTCTAATTAGTTTTACAGTTTGCTGACCAAATTCGTGGGTTTTCTAATTACTGTATTGTAAAAAGAATAAAGTCCATATCACGTAAACACTAAGGATGTAAAAAAACTTTTTTTTACAACAATTTTCGTACATGCACGCAAGTCGGTACTTGAAAAAGTCTACGCCAGAAAAAGAGGAAGAAAAAAATCCTTAAATTCTCATTCACGCTCGACCTGTCCTCTCTCATCCCTATACCAATAACTCGAACGGCCACAAAAACTCTTCATCCCATTTTAGTTCCTTTACATCGCCTGAATCTCCCCATGATCATCCACCCACAAAAACATCCATCACCACCAAAATGAGTAAAAAAAAATGTATAGCCGATAAAAAAGATCCCCCTACCAATCTCCTGGATCATCAATCATGATATAAATACACATTGCAGACGCAGCCGGTTGTAGGACGTGCCATTGTCATGATCCGTGCCTGGAGGTCGAGTGCGGCTCCAACGAGGCCTGCGCCCTCGTCGACGTGAACTGCGGACTCGGTCAAAGTTGTCCCTCGGTGCCCGCTTGCTTGGCCACCAAACCCGGCCAGTGTCCCTATCTCGTCCCAAGCTCCTCTAGTTGTGAGCTGCTCTGCAGTAATGATCAAGAGTGTCCCGTTGGTGACAAGTGCTGCTCTACTGGTGAGTTTCTTTTCATCTCCCCATTTGAGAATAATTTTCAATATCCTCAACAGGCCTCAATCATCACATTGTAGTCAATGAATAACAATTGTGATGGGATTGACCATATATAATTCCATTAATTATTTTTGACAAAATTAATAATAATCTCTTTAAACCCGTCGATTTGACTGTAAAACCATCAAATTAAAAAATTAAAAAACACCGTACGCCTCACCACCGATCGCAAACGAAATGATTTCGCGATTGAAAGGCGAAATACCAAAGCTGCAGGAAAAAAGTGGGTACCAATGTTTTGTGAAGCAAAGATGCAAAAAGCAGGGAGTATTGAAATTCGGACTCGGGCAATTTCGCGCAGAAGTCAAATAATCACAGAACGGGTGGTAGTACACGTGTAGGGTCGGCAGCATAAGCGTGTATTGGTGGAACAAAGCGGGGCTTTGGAGCTGTGAAAGGGGGACATGCCATTATTATATAGAAATGCTTGTGCAGGACTCTTGGCTGTGTATATTATGTACATCATGCTAGGAGGTAGCATAGGGTGTGCGGTGTGGCGCAGTGAACAGTGAGAAAGGGCTTATTTGTCCCGTTGCGCGCTACAACCGCAGATAGACAGTGCACGTCAGTCGTGGAATCATATTATGCGTTCTTGACTCACGGGAACCCTCGAGAGACCATATTAGGATATTCATTTAAATACTGGTCACTCTGCCCAAGAAGTTTTCATGTACAGAGATTTGCAAGCCAGAGTTTAGTTGTGATTTATTTCGATGGTTTTTGACGTGAGCTTTGGCAATGCAAATACACTAGGTTTGTTTATTCTCGTCCACTGGGTGACTCGGATTATATACTTATGTATGATTGAGAAAAGTTCTTACACGCACGCACAAACGGACTCACAATTTTCTCAAAGTGCTTCTGTAAATATTATACAAGTCCACCACAGAATGATAACTAACTAAAAGGGGGGTTCGAAATATCGACAGTCAACTTCAATTTTGTGTCGTTCATTTTGACTTTCCACTTACACTGCTCTGTGATTGGCTTTCGAAATAATGAGTAGTCGTTCTACTGTGCTGTCAAAGTCGTCGAAATCAAGGTCGCTGGGATAAACATTCATAAATTTACTTCAAAATTGAAGTGAATTGTCAATATTTCGGACCCCCACCAACTGAAACTAACTTCAAATTTAAATCAACAAAATATTGTGCTACAACACGTTTTTTTTAGCCATTTTAAAACGTTTTTCAATACTTAAACAATATTATAGATCGAATTGGTTAACATAAAAAAAGGTGTATTTTTAGAAGATCTATAATTTTTGCATTAAAAATTTTGTCTAAAAACTGTAACAGGTAAAAAATGTTCTATTTGCTGTTTTTGCATGTATTTTGCTTAATAAAGTGTCTACGTTGCATTATACAAAAAAGTTATATGTCAACGAGATCCACAACTCTGTTTGTAAACGCGGACGTATAAAATGTATGGGAAAAATGTCGATGCTACGAATAAAATTTGAGTTCATTTGGATCATAATTACTTGAGTTAGTCACAGTTAGTCATCAGTTGTTCATACATACATACATACATACATACACTATGTAAGTAACTCAGATCACCATTACACTAGGTTGAAAATTTGTTTTGTATTGAAAATAAACAATTTAAAAGTGGTTACATATTTTGCTCTTACAATATTATTTTAATATTTTCATCGAGAAGAAATACAGATTTAAATTTTAATTACGTTAGGGTCGCTCGAGGTTGTTTGGAATCAAACCGAATTGATCCTCAGATATGTCTGATTCATTATAGGGTACCTTTTTTCAACGAAATTGTGATTCCTATATTGTAAGTACATATAATTTTTTTTTCTTTTTCTTACCTTACATCACTTTGATGATTTTTACAGGTACTTACCTTCTACCATCTTCATATGGAGCGTACCGATCCTTAAATCCGACTTCTAACCCCTTACGCCATCTTCCATTACCCAACTAAATGCATAAATCCCTGTCCCAACTTTCCCCATTGACCATTTCTGTACTCTTCTTTCCATCCCTTCCTCTAGTTCTTACTCCACTATTTCATTCTGGCCTTGCCCTCAATCTCTCAGGGTGACTATGGAGCCTACCTGTGAGTTACCCTAAGGTACAAGGCCAGCTGTGAGACTCGAGAACAAATCTCAGTCATGTGCAGATTGATTTTTTGATGTGTATGTCTGGTGTCTCTATTTTTGTACGTCATAAATATTAAAAAAAAATTCGGTGACCCCACTTTTAGCGATCATGCGTATAAAAAAACGTCGTTTTCTTGGCACATCAATAAAAACGTGTATGCAAATTGTCTTGTGTTTATGAAAAAAGTTTCAAGGTTAGAAAAAAGACATCTTTTTTAAATTATCTTTTTTTTATGGATTTTGTTACTTCTAATTTGCAATGAGTTTAAAACGTATACTGAAGTATTACAAAAATGTAATAGGGATTGTAAGTTGAAATCGAATAAAAAGAGGAACTGACCCTCAGAGCCGTGTAAAACGAGTATTTTACTGAAAACTCGTGTTGGTATAGCATTATGAGAACTCGAGCATCTTTTTATCTTAAAACCGCAAGAGCACGAGGTTTGTCTTTCCTCTTACTTCTTTACTCTGCAGACTGTATGCTGTTCAATCACAAGTAGAACAAAAAGGCCTTTTATTCCTCTTTCGTCCCGTTCCCTCTCTGTCTCTTACTTTTTTTCTTACGCTTGAAAAAACGCACTTCACCGACAATAATTGAATTCCGCTAAAGGACTCTTACTCTACCTCCTATTGTTTTCTGACCAAAACCATTATTTTTTGGCTCCCTCACTACTCCCTTCAAACACATTTTTTTAAACTACAGCTTTTCACTGTGTCGCCTCTTACTTTTTTAAGTTAATATACAGCTCATCGTAGTTATAGTAAAACAAATGGGATACAGTCCTACCTATCCTACCTGTGAATTTTGATTGTCATCGATTTATTCGTTCTTGATTGGTTGAGACCGATCTTGGATGCGAAAATTTGAATAGTAGATTAAATAATTAGTAGTTTAAACTTTTGCATTTAATGTTAGTTAAAACTATGTACTTTATGGTAGTGAATTATTTAGTTTTTCTAACTAAATCAGGAAATTAAAAATTTGTTATTAACTGTGATGTGGTTGGCACGCAAAGTGTGCAGGGGCGGAGCCCCTAGCATGAAATTATTAAGAGTTGTTATTGTTAATGGAACAGAGTAAAAATTCCATATAGAATCGACCAAAAATTATTTTAAGATGACTTTACTTTCTAAGTAACGTGTGAAATGGTCAATCTAGCATTTTGTTAAAATGTCCTTAAAAGGGAGTTGAAAATTAATATTCGTTTTTCGTATTACTTGATGTTTATTTTAAGAAAATAGTTTGGTGACAAAATTCTTTATGGTAATGTTAAAAATCATTCGTTTTTAACTTTATCATTAACAACAGTTTTGCTTATATTGAAAAAATTAAAAAAGTTTTTGTGAATACCAAAAATTTGAGTACGATTTAACTTCTCAGCACGAGAAAGGTGAACAGAAATGAGCAAAGCGAAAGTCCCCAAGAGCGATGCAAACCTATGAAACTCCATGACTACAAATTTGCTGTAAATTAAAGAATTAAAGTCTTTTAACACTTAATACTTCTATTGAAATACTTCAAAAATTCTTACGCATTTTTTTTTAACACTTAATATTTAAAAGTTTAAAATTCTTTGAGATTAAATATCGAAATGTTAAAATCCAAACGTATTGAATGATAAGTTATCAAGTAGTTTAAAACCAAGTACAAGTAGCACTCCGGTAGTGCAGGCAGAAGTGAAAACTTGAACTTATGGCGCGTTGGGCACTTTTTTGGGTGAGCATTTTTAGGTGCGCTCGCGACATGAGAAATTGTACATAAAAAATCAAGTTTATCAAAGCAATGTGGGCACTTTTTGAATGGACATGAAGTATAATAATATAGAAACTATATTCGAAGGAGGTGGTTTTATTTAAATGAGTAAATATTAGTAAATAGTAAATACAAAATTTATCAATTTTTTTAACACAATACTATAGCAGCAACACAAGTCAAATGAAATATTTAAATAAATAAATTTTCCGTTTAATATTCATTTATAAAAAAAATATAAAAAACTCTCAATCTCGTCTGTCGCGAGGGCACGAACGAATGCCCATGAAAAGACTGCGTATCAGCGTTGGTCTGAGCATTATTCCACGCTCACAGTTCATGCTTGATCGCACATAGCGACGCTGACTGGATCCCACCGAGAACTACTTCGCGCGAGAATTTGAATTCAAAATCGTATGATTTTTTCAACAGACAGTAGGCACGGAAATTCAAATTCGAAAGAATTCTTGGTATACTATTTATGTATGTAATCATGTGGCGTCTCACATCTCTCGCGCTTCAGGCTCTACTCGCCAGGTGGCCAAGCCCCTGATATTCGCTCCCGTCAAGTGGCAAAATTCTCGCACGATTCGTATATAAGCGCGATCAAGTCACTCTAAGCCCACCCCACTTCTGTGTCTAAGGCATGCTGCACGTCATCAGCCTTACTGATGGGTCCTGGCGTGCTCTCGGGACGAAACACTTTTTTTCTCTCTTATAGACGACCTCTTGATCTCTATAATCATACAACATTATCCAATATTTTTAGGCATTAATTAGCCAATACATACAAAGATTTCTTTCAAATTTAAATTTCTGCGCCTTACTGTCAGCTGAAAAAATCATACGATTGTGAATTTGAATTCTCGTGCCAAGTAGTTCGCGGTGAGATCCAGGCAGCCGCGTTATGTGCGATCAAGCATGAACTGTGAGTGTGGAATAATGCTCAGACCAACGCTGCTGTCGCTGCTGCGTATAGCATGCAGCGCTCTCGCATACTCTGAGTATACATATAGGTATGTAATCTCGTCTGTTGCGAGAGCACAAACGAATGCCCATGCAAAGAGCGCGGATAGTATACATATATTATACTAGAATACACGCGTAGTATATCTGTGTAAAATCTCGTCTGTCGCGAGGGCACGAACGAATGCCCATGAAAAGACTGCGTATCAGCGTTGGTCTGAGCATTATTCCACGCTCACAGTTCATGCTTGATCGCACATAGCGACGCTGACTGGATCCCACCGAGAACTACTTCGCGCGAGAATTTGAATTCAAAATCGTATGATTTTTTCAACAGACAGTAGGCACGGAAATTCAAATTCGAAAGAATTCTTGGTATACTATTTATGTATGTAATCATGTGGCGTCTCACATCTCTCGCGCTTCAGGCTCTACTCGCCAGGTGGCCAAGCCCCTGATATTCGCTCCCGTCAAGTGGCAAAATTCTCGCACGATTCGTATATAAGCGCGATCAAGTCACTCTAAGCCCACCCCACTTCTGTGTCTAAGGCATGCTGCACGTCATCAGCCTTACTGATGGGTCCTGGCGTGCTCTCGGGACGAAACACTTTTTTTCTCTCTTATAGACGACCTCTTGATCTCTATAATCATACAACATTATCCAATATTTTTAGGCATTAATTAGCCAATACATACAAAGATTTCTTTCGAATTTGAATTTCTGCGCCTACTGTCTGCTGAAAAAATCATACGATTTTGAATTTGAATTCTCGCGCCAAGTAGTTCGCGGTGAGATCCAGGCAGCGGCGCTATGTGCGATCAAGCATGAACTGTGAGCGTGGAATAATGCTCAGACCAACGCT